GCCCCCGCCCCGGCGCTACCTGTCTCTGTGGAGAAGGGCTCGCTCCGCGGGCGCAGGCCGGCCTGCCCACCGCATCTCTCCTCTCCTCTCCCAGGATGGGGACGTTCACAGGCACCTCTACCTCCAGGGGGTCCTCACCAGCCTCGGCGAGGTGGCGGAGAGACCCAAGTAAGTGATATGGCAGCAGATGTGCCGCGTAGTTTGTGCCTGCCGTTGGTGAGCAGCGCTGTTGGTGTGAACCCCAGCCGCTGGTAGTGTGCGGGTGCCAGGCTCGGACAGGTACCAGTGCAGACATTGAGTGTTTTGGGACACAATCATCGATCACAGACTGGTTTTAACCTTAAAGCTCATCCAGTTCCAACCCCCTGCCACGGGCAGGGACACCTTCTACTAGAGCAGGTTGCTCCAAGCCCCTGTGTCCAACCTGGCCTTGAACACTGCCAGGGATGGGGCAGCCACAGCTTCCTTTGAACTTCTGGGGGCTGTACCGCCTGGAGAAGAGAAGTTGTGTGGAGACCTCAGAGCAGCTTCCAGTATCTGAAGGGGACTACAAGGATGCTGGAGAGGGACCCTTCATCAGGGGCTGTAGTGACAGGACAAGGGGTGATGGGTTCAAACTGAAACAGGGGAAGTTCAGGTTAGATATAAGGAAGAAGTTCTTTACTGTGAGGGTGGTGAGTTGCTGGCACAGGATGCCCAAAGAAGTGGTAAATGCTCCATCCCTGGCAGAGGCCAGGTTAGACAGAGCGTTGGCCATCATGGTCTAGTGTGTGGCATTCTCGCCCATGGCGGGGGGTTGGAACTGTATGATATTAAGGTTCTTTCCAACCCAACCCATTCTCTGATTTTGTGCTGCAGTCAGCTGTCTGTCTAGATACTTCCTTCTTGTGTTTGTTGGATGCCATGGCGTTTCACTGAGAGTTCCCATAAGTAGAAAGGCATCTATAATATGTCTAAAAATTGGGATTCTAGCTAAACAAGAGGATTTAAGTGGCAGGTTAGTATTTACTCAGTAAAAAACAGTGGGAGAGCCATGTGGTACAAACAGCCCCAGTTAAGAAGTCTGAGCCTGGGGGAAAGTTGTCTTGCTGTAAAACCTGCTCTTGTGTATAAAATAGAGGAAGTCGAGGTTTGCTGGGGTTACCCTACACTTATAACCCATAGCAGCAACTTTCAAGTCCAACAGCTTGTTTCTCGCATTGCTGCTTGTGGTTTGTTCTTAATCGAAGCACCACATCACAGGATGATAACATATACAATGCTCAAGCCATAACAGCAAATAAAGAGTTTCCAACTGCCAACACCATTGTAATCTTCATTCCATTACACCTCGTGATTAATTTAAGTATTATTCACAAAAAATGCCACAAGCAAATATAGTCGCTGGAGGGATATATGCAGCTTAAATTAAGGCTCTAATTTAATTTAAGGCATAGATGCTGTAATTTCCCTGCAGGGTGTCTGAATTCAGTTGCCACATCTCCGGATGCTGCCAGGTCTTTGACACACTGGAAGGCTACGAGCATCACTACAACACGCTGCACAGGAATGTCTGCTCCTTCTGCAAGCGCTCCTTTCCATCCTGGCATCTCCTGGATATCCACATCTTGGAGTGGCATGACTCACTCTTCCAGATAATGGCTGAAAAGCAAAACATGGTATGTCGCTGTGCACAGCCCTTTGCCCAGGTTGGTGTGCATGGTGGGGGCTGGCACCCTTAAAGAATGACCATTTGGGAAGGATACCCATGTCCCCAGATGACACTTCTGGCCTTTTCCAGTTATGTCTTTTTTCATTTTTCCCCTGCCTTTCAGTACAAGTGCTTGGTAGAAGGCTGTGCAGAGAAGTTCAAGAGCAGCAAGGACAGAAAAGATCACTTGGTCACTGTTCACCTTTATCCTGCTGACTTTCGGTTTGATAAACCGAAGAAAGTGAAAAGGTAACTGCAGAACTGCAGTAGCACAAATGGTTTTCACCTGTAGAGGTGATGTGCTTCTCTGCTGTGGCATTCCCTTTGTGGAGTAAGCAAGTTTATGTTCTCAGAGGTTCAGAAATGAAACAGATAAACTTGCATGTGGCAATGTTTTACTTCATCTTAATGCTGAAATGTGTCTTCTTTCCCTTCCTTGGTGGCTCCAGGCTCTGCTTCCTTTGTGCCATCTCAAGTGTAAATGCAAATCTCAGCATCTGTCACTTTGTGCACGTTTCTTTTAGGGAATCAAGCCTATTGAATGAGTTACACTTTATGAAGTGAGGAAAGGACCTGGGCACAAAGCTGTGTGCTATAACACAGCCACCCTGAGTACTTGGTAGAAACTCACACAAGCCTATTACGCAGCTTCCCAGCAGCCTTTTGGCTGTTCCTAGTGGTTTGTGCACCCAAATTGAATTTGACCTGTTTCATTGTTAAATACCCTCTAAGCCCCAAAGAAATAAATGGCAGCTACTGAGGTAGGGTGTAATATTTTCTCTGCAGTGGCCCCAAGCACATGAGCAGTCCCACAAAGCAGAATGCCAGTGTGCCGATGGATATGACTGTGGAGACAGAGCAATTCCAAGTGGACCCCATGGAAATAGGGCTCAGTGAGAGCATGGAGATCCCTGAGCCTGCAGCCAGCCCTGGCTCCTCGGTGCCAGAGAAACGCCTCTATAAATCCAGGTCTGTACTGTTGGCCTCCATAGGCCAAAAAACTCTGGGGCAGGGACCATAGTCCTCTTCACTGCATTTTGCAGTGCTTAGTGCAGCACAGCTCAGGGTGTTCCTGTGTTGAAGATAAAAGAGGTAGGATTTCCATGTATGTTTTAAAGGCCATTTTTAAAAGAGGAAAGTGTGAGGCAGGGCAGAGTGTGCATATACCCTGTGAAACCTGTATCAATAAGATCCTTTTAGTCTGCCAACCCGTGATCTCTTCCCAGGGTCCAGCAGAATGCTGTGGGTGTGAGGGTAAGAACTCTGTCCCAAAATACTCCAGCAAATTTTGTTGTGCTTTCTAACACTTTCCCATCCTGGCTGGCTCGGGGCTGAGCTGGTGCATTTCACTGGAGCTGTCTGTGCTCCCATGCAGGTGCAGGACAAGGCACGAATAGAGCGGGTGAACATCTTACTCTGAATCTTAGGTTTTGCAAAGCCAGAGCAGCATTGCTGGGTTTGGTGGTTTGCTTTTTGGGGGTTTTTTTTGTTTGTTTGTTTTAAACATAAAATCTTAGCAAAAGGTTGAAACTGAATTGCCTAATGCTGGCTTGACTTTTGAAATCATAGAATCATAGAACAGCATGGGTTGGAAGGGACCTTAAGATCATCCAGTTCCAACCCCCTGCCATGGGCAGGGACGACTCACCCTAGACCATGTCACCCAAGGCTCTGTCCAGCCTGGCCTTGAACACTGCCAGAGATGGGGCAGCCACAGCTTCTCTGGGCAACCCTCACAGTAAAGAACTTCCTTATATCTAACCTGAACTTCCCCTGTTTCAGTTTGAACCCATTATCTTTTGTCTTTATCGCTACAGTCCCTGATGAAGAGTCCCTCTCCCCCTCATAATGTGCTATAAAACCCATATACAGGTCACCAGCCTCTTCCCAGCACCCAGATCAGTGTCATTTTATTCATCATTTTAATCATCTCTCAGCATAAAGGTTAATATAGTATTGCCTGAACTATTCCAGTTAGCAAAAGGATTCTTCTGGTTTGAGTTTGCCACATCTGTGGCACGCTGGCAGTCGGAAAGCAGTATAATGAGCCCATGACTGTGCTTGGAGTGCCATGCAGGGAAACTTGCTTCTGTCCGTGGCTCCCTCTTGCTTTCCCTGCTGTCAGCTCTGCCCGTGTAAAATGAGGTGAGCTTTACTGCTTCAGGGCTTTCTGCTGAGTCATGGAGCCTGGAAGTGCTCACAACGCTCTACAGCCAATGGCGTCTTTTGTATGTCATGGTTTGCCTGTCAAAATCCTGTCCCTAAGAAACTGCCACAGTGACATTTTAAACTTCACTGCCTTGTCCAGCATAACAGCTTATAAACCCAAAAGAAACCATCCCTTGAATTTGATGTGATGCTGCAGGTCAAAAGGAGAGTTGGGTGCTGAAAGGCCATGGTTATACTGCTGTTTCTTCTCTTCTGCTTTTCACAGTCATGTGCTTCCACAAAATCCCACTGACACTGCCCAGTGGCATATTGCATTTTCTAACATACCCTGTTGTAAAGAGAGGGGAGGCCTCCAGAACATAAATGTGACGAATAAACACGAAAGCAGACCAGTATTTTATCTATTTTTTTAATTACACTTTGGTGATTTAGGTGTCCTTCTCCTCCAATACCTTCCTCTTCCCACTCTTGAGAGCTTGAAATGCTACAAAAGGCATAAAGCATCCTAGTGATGCTGTGAGAGGTGGTGTGTTGATGTGTATTACAGCATGTCTGCCTTTCCAGGATCCCATCCACAATTTGCTTTGGACAAGGTGCTACCCGAGGATTTAAAGGACCAAGGAAGAAAGTCTAAAGGTCAGTGCACCAGCTTTGTGCAAGACAAGAAGGTGCCAGCCGCTGCTGCCTGCAGACGTTGGCACCATGACTGAGTGGGGACATTTGCAGTGTGTGCAAGGGTCCCACTCCATAGCAGGAAGGCAGAAGGGTGAGAACAGGGGTTGTGCAGCAGCAGTTTGGGATACACATTGAGAAGTGCTTTGCTGCAGTCCCCACCTGTCTCTATACCATCTCCCTTAGGCAGCATTTCAGAGCTGACCCATGCTTTACCCTTCCGGAGGCACAGTACTCTCTTTTCTGATCCCCTCTGAAATCAAACTACAAATAAATTCTGGCTCTGTGTTGTGAGTTTCTGTCCCTCAACAGTGCCAGGACTGCTCTGGGCAGCAGTGGCTTTCTAGATAGGTGGTCACATCTCACCTGAGCTTGCAAAATGGCAAATGCTGTCCTGAAACTCCAGGCAGCTGTGGGGATCCCACAGGCTTTGCAAGGAATCGCTGTCAGAAATGCAGCAGGGATAACACTGAGCAAAACACAGTGTTCCCTCTTCCTGCAGGAAGCCCTGCATCCCCTCCCTGGCCTAGGGGCAGGTTGTCACACTTCCCTGCCAGCCATGCTTGCACAGGGGAGTAGCAAAATAGAATCCAGAGGAAAAGCAAAGGAGATTACAACAATTCATTATTTTAATTGTGTTTTTTCATTTTCTTTTTTTCTTTTAAAGCTCCAGCAAGTGCAGCCATTGAGACATGGGGCAGGTTGAACTTGCACAAAGAGTCTCAGACTGCAGCAGAGCACTGGTGGACCTCAGAAGTGTGGAGGTGAGAGGAAATCAGCTGCTGCAGCTGAGCCTACACAGGATTATCTTCTTGATTTTTTTTTTCCCTTTTGGGGGAAGAAATGGATTCAGGGAATTCCAAGACAAAATCTGTGACTCTACAGAAGCTGGAATAAAAAGCAAATGGGGGAGGAAAAAAAGGCATTAGTCCTTAATTCTGACTTGCATCTTGCTGAAGTCTGCTCTGCTCCCTGACACTTGCTCTGGAACCCACACAAAAGATTTGCCTATGCCAGGAGAAGCATTCTGGTGCCCTGCAGCTCTTTTCCACAGGGAGTTAAAATGAAGCATCTTCCAACTGGTGTATAAATAAAAGGACTTTTTACAAAATTACTTTGTAGAGAATTTAAATGCTGTCTTGAAGCCCAGGCAGAGTCAGATGTGACGCATGAACCTCCCTTTGCTCCAAAGACCCCCAAAATCAGGTTGAGGTGGAGGTTATTTTTCCTCTTGTCTTTCCCTTCCTTTTTTATCTCATCCTGCCAGAGGGAAAGATTGAGAAACACAGAGCCAGGTCTGTGGTCCTGTGAACTATGTCACTTTTAAAATGGTCCATAAAGGGGGAAAAAAAAGGAGGTTGCAGGAATGACGTTTATCTGAGAAGCTTAGAATCTATGATTGCTTTCCTCCCTTCCCCCTCTCTGGGTGGAACAAAGGATAAAAAGGGCTTTGAGAAATCCTTGCAAATAGGAGCAGGGAATGATGCTTACGGAGATTTTCCTGTCAGTTTTAGAACGCTTTGCTGTGTTTAAAACTCAGCCAGCTTGCCTGGCCCTAATCCTTGTTCCTCAGCCTCTGCAGAGAGCTGTCTCTGGCAGGCAAACCCTCTGTCCAGGAGATCCAGCTCACCTCCTGCTACTGCTGGTCCCCCAGAGATAGTCCATGGTACAGGACAGGGAAGACCAGGCTCTGTCACCACTGGTGTGGCCACCACCCTGAGACTCCTGCCACATGTCTGCACAGGGACATCTATCAGCAGTGATCATACATCTATCAGCAATGACCAAAAATCACTTTCCAACACTGGAAGCCCCTAGTGAGGCTTCTTTCCCCACGCTGGAGTAACTGGAGATTGGAAGCAGGCATCATGTTGCTGGAGATCCCTGCAGGCTTTGGCCAGTGATGGTACAAAGAGCAGTCCAATCTGCTTCCCCTTACGTGTTTAGGTCCTAAGTTTCCACCTGGAAATTCCTTTTTTTTTCCTTTTCCTAGATTCCAGGTCCAGAGATTAATTACAAAATGAATAGTGCAATTACAGCCTCAGGGTCACCAACTTTTTCCAGAGCATAGGCATGTGCCTCCCCATATTTGACAGTAAAACAAACAGCCATGTTTCTGACCTCTCCATAAATGACCTGTGACTAAATGCACTCTGCAAGCAGGGAGCAGAAGCAGGGACAGCTGGAAGTCTCCTCAGAGATGACATTCCCAGAGCCTGGCTGCCTTCCAGGAATAAGGCTCCTCAGAGCACAACCAGGCTCTTGCAAGCAGTGGGTGTCAGAAAGGAGGAAGATGGACTCCAGGCACCCTTAGCTCATAGGGTGCTTTGGCTGGGAAGGGACCTTACAAAACCATCCAGTCTGACCCCACTGCCATGGGCAGGGTCACCTTCTACTAGACCAGGTGGAAGAGCCCATCCAACCTGGCCTTGACCCATAGACAAGCACAAGCTTTTCCAGCTCATCAGAACTTTGTCCTCTGAGATTGAACGGTGACAGGACAGCAGGTTCATCTCCAGGCCTGGGCTGAAGCCCTCTCCAAGGTGATGGATATTTGTGAAGTCAAATCAATCCCTCACGTTCTGGGGCTGAGGGCATGGATTTATACCTCATTGATTTATTTCCTCTTGGTTGATCTCTCCCTGCTGAATTAAGCCATACTCACTCAGCAATCAAACCAAAGCTCAGAGCTTGGCTGTGGATGTGCCATTTAATGCCAGGGCACTCCCAGCTCCACACCAAAGCTCTTTATGTTGCTTAATGGCTTCTATTTAGGTTTGGACTTGGCAGTTTGGACCTGACAAACCCTCAGGTGGCTTCGGATGGGAAAGGACCTTCCACTGCCTGGAACACTATCCCATATCATGCACCAACCTCCGGGAAAATCAAATGGTTCAATGTACTTTAAGAACTACACTGTGAACAATGGGTGGTGGGACTTTCAAACATTGGGATACAGGTTAAGCGAATGAGCTGGTTAGTCAGCACTAGGGGATCTGCCAATGTGGATGCCCAAACCCCAGGGCACATGGGTTGATCTGCCTGGGTGCACGAGGGCAGGTTATCCCAGTGCCTCCTTTGCCCCCAGCAGCACCAGTATCACGAACTGGCCCCACCCTGGGAGCGGCCACGGCAGCAAAACTCCGCGGTCAAAGAGCGAACGAGGGCCAGGGAGTGCAGGAGCAGCCATGGAGCGGTGAGTCCCTGCGGGATGGCCCAGGGTAGCGCCGGAGGTGGGGGTGCAGGATACAGGCAGACACTGGACACAGGGGGGTGCAGCAGGAGCTGTGGGTGCAGGATACAGGCAGATACTGGGCACAAGCGGATGCAGCATTTAGACCCCAGCCAACACAGCTCCTGCCAACAGGGTTCCTCCATCTCTCCGCAGCCTGCGGGCCCTGTGGCTCTGCAGCATCACTGTACTGCTGGGCACTGCCCTCCTCCTGCCTGCGCCTGGCAGCACCCAGGTGAGCCCCATTCATCCATCCATCCATCCATCCATCCATCCATCCATCCCCTGCCTGCCCTCCCCCTGTCCTGGGCATAAGCAGGCACAGGGAGTCCCCTGTGCTCTGTGCCACCCCCCCGGCACCATCTTTCTTCCCACAGGCTCTGAGCAATGCTGGGAGGAAGGACCTGGCCATGGAGGAGGACTTGGCCAAGGAAATGTAAGAGGCGCCCACATCTGCCTTGGGAACAAGGCGGCAACACCCCAGCAGCCAGACAAGCCCGTTTGCTCTCGGAGACCCTAATTGCAGCCTTGTGGGGATGGGGGTTGTCTCTCACCAGGGTCTTTGCACGCTGATGGGGTGGGATGCCCCTCGGACAGGGGGATATTTAATAACCCTGATGCACTGCGACCTTCCCTGGCCGAATTTGTTCCTTTCTTCCAGCATCCTGGGTGTTCGCGCTGTGGAGCCACCAGAGGAGGCTGAAATCTCCCAAGACGTGGAACAAGGTTCAAAGGTTGTCTCCAGCAGCACCTGGGCTCGCTGGGTCGCTCACCAAGCCCAGGCAGGACCGGAGCAGGACCATGACCACCTCCACCACTCCCAGGATGATGCTGCAGAGGCTGATGCCCAAGGGCCACCACTGATGCTGTCCCTGCAGGTGCAGAATGGGCCAGAGGAGGACCATGACCATCTCTACCACAGCTGAGCAGCAGAGACAGGCCCAAGCTGCACAATGAGGGGCAGGAGCATCCCTGGGCCTCATCCCTCCCAAACCACCCCTAAGCCCCTCAATAAATCCATTTAGAGCACCTCCCATATGAAGACAGGCTGAGAAAATTGGGATTGTTCAGCATGGAGAAGCTGCTTGGAGATCTCAGAGCAGCTTCCAGTATCTCAAAGGGCTACAAGGGTGCTGGAGAGGGACTTTTCATCAGGAACTGTAGCGACAGGACAAGAGGTGATGGGTTCAAACTGAAACAGGGGAAGTGGGTGCTGAGGCGCGGGCACAGGGTGTCCAGAGAAGCTGTGGCTGCCCCATTCCTGGCAGTGTTCAAGGCCAGGTCAGACAGGGCTTGGAGCAACCTGGTCTAGTGGAAGGTGTCACTGCCCATGGCAGGGGATTGGAACTGGATGATTTTAAAGTCCTTTCCAACACAAACCAGTCTGGGATTCAGTGATTTCCCCTCCATGTCCTGGTAGGCTCCTCATTGCTGCCAGAACCCTATTGCCAAGCATAAGGCCCCTGTATCTGGGAGATGCCATCCGTGGGCTCACTAAACAGAGGCTCTGAGCAGGGCGAGGACAATGCCTCAGGGTGGGCAACTCTGATCACCACCGTGGCCTCAGTGTAGCCCAACTGAGGCTGAGGCCGGGCAAACTCAGCACACCAGTGTTGCATCCAAGAAGGTGCCATGGGCTATCCTCTGCCCAGGGAACACGTGAACCTATTGCTCCACGAGGCTGCTCTTCCAGCAGTGGGAAGCAGCATGATGATGGGGTCTCAGTGAACACCAACATATCCCAGCTCAGGGGGAACCCCACAGCAAGGATCACCCATCTTCCTGCAGCGCCAGGAAAACCCTTTAATAGCGATGGCAAATTGCTCCCTGCTGCTGGTTGTCTCACTTGAGGCACTTGTCACTTGCCACCAGGTCTCAGACCCCTCTGTGGGGTGATGTGTGGGGCTGATGTGCTGCAGGGGACCAGCACCCCGCCGGCTCAGCTGTCAGTGAAGTTTGCTTTGCGCTTCTCCACAAATGCTGACATCCCCTCCTTGCGGTCACCCTGTGGGGAGCAGAGAGAGGGGGTCAGTGGAGGCTGTGCCCACCCTGCTGTCCCCACCACACTGAGGACAACCCCCCCCGCTCACAGTGGCAAAGGTGGCGTAAAAAAGCCGCTTCTCTGTCCTCATCCCCTCCTCCAGTGTTGTCTCAAAGGCTGAAAACAAAGGAGAAGTTGAGGAAACCCCATGGCTTGCAGCAGCCCCATGGCATTTCCACTGGCCTCCCATCCCTCACCACTGTTGACCGACTCCTTTGCCATGGCAGCCACCAGCTTGGAGTTGCTGGCGATCTTCTCAGCACAGGCAATGGCCGCATCCAGCAGCTTCTCCACAGGAAAGATCTTGCTGACCAGACCTGGGACAGACAGTGTGAGGTGGTGGGACAGCAGGGAGCTGTCCCATGACAGTGTGCTGGGACTGGCCCATGGTCCTACCTGCCTCCTTTGCCTCTTGTGCAGAAATCCGGTCCCCAGTGAGGACCATCTCCATCGCCAGTGACTTCCCCACCGCTCTGGTCAACCTCTGTGTCCCTCCAGCACCTGGAACCATTTGGGGAAGGGAAAATCCCAGAGGATACCTGGGTGTTCCTGCTGTCCCTGCTCCAGTGGGGATAGAACCCCATGGCAGGACCCCCTCTGCTCACCTGGGATGGTTCCCAGTAGGATTTCTGGTTGCCCAAACTGTGCTTTCTCCCCAGCATAGATGATATCACACATCATGGCCAGCTCGCACCCGCCACCCAGCTGGGACAGGGGAAGAAGAGGGGGGTAACAGGGTGCCAGGGCTGAGAATTCAGACACAGAGAGAAAATATGGGGGGGGGGACGCCTCACGGCATAGCCATTGACAGCAGCAATGATGGGTTTGCGGATGGTAGAGACTTTG